ACAATGCCTGATTTTGTCATAGAAAGGGAGGGTTGCAGGATCGTCACCACTGATCTATGATGAAATAGAAATATTCGTCATAAAAATGATCTTCTATGATGATTTTGGATTCATCATTAGCATTTTCGTCATAGAAGTGGATATTTCTAGTAGCGGCTCCCACGTGGCCATGGTGGGCCGGAGCTCCTCTGCCTCGAGCTCTGCCGGCGCCATCAGGAATGGGCAAGCAGTTGCAGGCGCACGTCTCCGTCATCGAAGCGCCGGAAGAAGAAGGGCCACCCGACCCTCGTCGACCTCCAAAAGTGGAGCCTCCGCCTTGAGCAGTAGCTTCGTATGTGGTCCGAGGCCAGGGCGCCCAAATTAGGCAAATTCCGCACGGGGTCGACTTAATTGGGTCGGATTCAGCTAGATCGAGGGAGGGGGAAGAGGGGCACCCACCTTGGTTGATCCGTCGTGGAGGCCCATGACGAGGTGGAGCGGAGCTTCTTCTCGTGACAACCAGAGCGCGCCGGAGACGAGCCCGTTGTCATCCTCGTTCACGGAGCCGACGCTTCGGCGGTTGGAGTGTCACCCCTGGGGCGGCTGCTGCTCCTACAGCTGTTGTTGCTGCTCGTGGAGCTGCTGCTTGAGGCGGAGGAGCTCTGGCCCTCCATGGCCGCACAGGAGCTCGAGGCAGCCGGCGCTCACTTCATCACCATGGGAGTTGGGGAAGAAGCTGTCATGGAAAAGACAGAAAGGAATGAGGAAGATAACTAGTAGGGTCACACACCAGTGGAATAGAGAGAGTAAGTGGGAGGGGTAGTTTTGTCCATACGAAAATACAATGACGTCATGTACGCATGCTGTTGGGCCCAAGGCCTCTCCAACCGTAGCATATTTCAAACGAAGGAAGAATTATATGCGAATAGTAATGATACTTTTCCGAACTTTAAAAATTATAATGGTATCATTAAAAAAACCTTTATTATATTAGCATTTCATACGTACACACACGCATACTGATTAATAGCTGTAAACCAACAAGCTAAGTAACATGTCACGCCCAGCCCTTGACGACGCCGCTGTAGCCGGTCTTCTTGTCCTCGTACCTGTCCCAGACCATGACCCCGCCATAGTTGCGAGCCTTCTTCACCTCGGGCAGCAGGAGGTAGTAGAGATACTTGAGGTAGACAGCGATGGTGCCCTGCGCCCCATCCGGCACGCCGCTCTCTGCCGCGGCGAGGCCGAGGTACACCTCCGTCTTGGGGTACCTGGCCGTCCACTTGTTCCACCCCTCCACGACGCCCCAGGTGCTGCCGTTCTTGAAGGAGCACTTGTCGTCGCCGTAGAACCTGACGTGGATGCGCTCGAACAGCCCCGTCTGCAGCGCCCGGTCGACGCGCAGGTCGGGGCACCCGCACCGCGGCGACGCCGTGAGCCGCACCCCCTTCCGGGCAAGGCAGCGCGCCAGCTCGTCGTATTGGTCGGCGGCCCCGCCGTTGTGGATGTAGAAGTCGATGCCGTCCACGGCGGCGTCGCCGAACGGGCGGTACACGCCGAGGTGCGCCCCGCCGAGGTGCGCGTTCCACAGGTTGTCGGCGACGTCCGCCGCGGACTGGGAGGACGGGAGCGAGTAGTCGTGGCCGCCGCCGCCGATGGAGAGGAGCACGAGGATGCCTCTGGACTGGCAGTGCTTGATGTCGGCGCCGACGCCGCTCAGCTGGTGGCCCGACAGGTCGCCCCGCCAGTAGCGCCCCTGGCCGAACACGCTGTAGAAGGAGATGATGACGGTGGTGTAGAGCCTCGTGTCGCAGGCCTCCTGCAGCGACCCCTCGTCCTTGTTCTGGCCCCAGAAGACGGTCACCTGATTCGTCTGCTTCGCCAAGGCCGGGCCGGCGGCGAGGCAAGCGACGACCACGAATGCGACGGCGAGGAGCGCCACATCCACTTGGCGTGGACACCTTCGGGACGCCATGGCGCCTAGCTAGATGTGACGATGTGCGAAGGTATGATGGATCGGAGCTTGATGTGATGTCTATATATTGCACTTGGTACTTTGTAGCGTGTTGGGATAGCTAACAATTTATACTAAAAACACATGGATGATACGATAAGATAATAATACTGTAAAAATTAAATATCAGCGTTAAAGTTAGAGTTAATCCAAAAAGCAAAGTTTATGAAATTAACAGTCACGGAGAGCGCGGCGTCACAGGCTTATAAACTCTACTTTATAGACCTTTCCATGACGCGCCTAAGATAATGTTTTATATCTGCAGAAAAAAATCTCCGATATTCATTTCTTTCGTGCGTCAATAAATCCACGAATAAGCTCCGCCGCATCTGCATACCATCCTGTACACAGACTCGAGTATATATGTCAATATTAGTGCCTGTCGCATGAATAATACTGCGTCTCTTGAAAAATCTTCCACAAAAACATAAAACAAAATGTTATACTCACCGTATAAATATGTGTGGCCTTTGGTCTATTCCACATAGATATATACTGTAGAATAAGATATCTACTTAAGTGTCTGTGACAATATTCACGATCAGCCATATATAGAACTCGAAATACTTGTGCCTAATCTGCAGCCGTCGTTATAAAAGACAGTGCAGCCACTGGTCCATCCTTCCGCCACGCTGCAGCCGCTGCCCAGGTATCCAGTCGTTTTCTCTTGTTCTTGTGTGGCCGGAATGCATGCATGGAAAACAGGGTGTAACGCGCGGTACGCGGGGGCTTGACTTTTTCAGTTTTCATTCAAGCACGGGAAAGAGGGAAACTTTATATACTCGTTTCGCGTTCCGTCCAGGAAAAAGTAGTTATATTTAGGACAAATCATTTTTTCTTAAATTTGATCAATTTTATTTATCTACACTTATGTCTCCAATAAATTTACTGTAAATATATATATACACACACTATATAATTATCTAAGTATACTTATTCGACGTCGTAGATGTTATTTTAATTAATTTAGTCAAATTGTGCACTCTTTGGAAACCAAGATAGAATGGCATTATGTTTTGATGAGATAGAGGGAGTATATATATGGATAGAGATGAATAGAGGTGGTAAAGGATTAGAATCCGAATCCAGATGGAGAAGTCCAATTAAAATCTAAGGAAAAAAGTCCAACATTTAACATAAAAATCCAATTCCAGTTTCCAAATGACTAATGTCTGATCTAATCGAATCCAATTACTTTAAAATCCAAATCCATCCATGACGATCCAACAATAGTGAAAGTAATGTCTCGTTTTGACTACATGTCTAAAGCTGGATCTCAAAATGAAAATCTCTCGCGTTCACACTTTAAACTTTTAACGAACTTAATTGAATTTTGTTGGAGATGACGATGATTTTATATATGACAACAGGCTAATATATGTATATTGGTTTGGCTATATATAATAGTGAACTCCATGTCAGAAGCCCAACCCTAGGAATAAAAATACTGCATTCACATCTATTTTTTAATAAAACTGATCGAAATTTGTTTCAAAGGACTCACTGTAACAACCGTCTACTATGTGTATATTAGTGCGGCGAAACCAACATGTCAGTTCCACAATGAAAACCTAAGCTAGACATTAGAGACCGCGCCCTTACACTACCGGAATCGAAGGCTTTGCCGAGTGTCATATTCTTTGCCGAGTGTATTTTATCGGACACTCGGCAAACCATCTCTTTGTCGAGTGCCAAACTAAAAACACTTGGCAAATATTGCGACACTCAGTAAACTCTCTGTTTGCTGAGTGCCTTATTAAAAAAACACTCAGCAAACATTCTGACACTCGGCAATTCTACTGAAAAACACTCGGCAAACTCCGGCACTCGGCAAAAATGGGAAAAACACTCGGCAAATTACGGCACTTGACAAACATCGCGCCACGTGTCCCTCCATTGCCCTTTTGCCGAGTGTCCGATGGGCAACACTCGGCAAACAATTTATTTATTTTTCTCATTTGACCTTGAAACTTTTTTTGTACTCAACAAACAGCATAGCATAATCCATGTTAAAATTTAGCATTTTTTTGGATCTGTTTGCTAGTTTTGATTCATTAAATGCATTCTAGGAATTTAATTGATTTACGTCAAATTTGATCTATAAGTGCATGAAATAATAGAATAAAATGGGTAGAAAAATCATGTTCATGTTGTCAAGTCTATTTTTTGGCGTTACCGAAGAAATGAAAAGAAATTTGAAACATCTGGGTGGCAACACTCGACCATCAACATGTAGCTTATTGGTTTTTTAATTATAAAAAATTCAAACGAAGTTTGAAAAACATAAGACTTGCCATTGTATCGTGATATGATACGTAGAGGCTATGGTAAAAAATTGAGAAGATTTCGGAAAAGTTGTAACGTACATTGCTTAGAAACCGAAGCATCTCTAAGGAAGAATCGTGGTATCGAGAGAGAATGGGATAGGTTTGAAGGCGAAGTGCTGGTTCAATCATCGTTTGACCTTGAAACTTTTTCTATACATTAGATTGAGCTCAAACTTTCTGAGCTTGCTATTTTCCCCTCCTATAAAAAGAGAAAAAAAAATCATTTGTCGTGTGTCTAATAATATATATATATATATATATATGTGTGTGTGTGTGTGTGTTTCAGTTCAGTTTTTTAAAAAATAGCTAATTCTTGCCCGGAGAGACCTGAGGGCTCGGTGTCCACGAGGCTATGCTGCATTTTCATGGTCTGAATTCTTGAAAGCAACAATGGTATATACTGTACATTTTTTCTATTGAATTTATTATTTCTCTAGCTACTTTTTGCTGCAGATTTAAGTTCTAAAACAAGCTATCTGTTTTTGTGCATACTAAATATGATACTTAACGTGTCCTACTCAGTTGACAAATACCTAGATACCTTTAAAATGAATGAAATTAAATCCTAAGTGTTACCAAGCTGTTCTCTCATTTCTCAATTTAGCATCATAATGATCAGTATACACTACCGGAATAACTATTGGAGTTGGCCGTGCACTGGTTAGCTGCTGCAAAATCGCTCACTCACAGTGAATTTGATGATTATCAGTGTCTCTGCTCTGCAGCAAACTTGATTCTTTGTAAAGAGCCCATATCTCACCTTTTTTAGGATGAATTTCAAATGAATTCCTATTTTTGCCTGTTACCCATGAAATTTTATGAGAAAAGTACATTGATGGGTCATGTAGTACACATGTCTCTCCTAAGCAGAAGTTTCCACATGCAACAGGCAATTCTTTACGATTCCATCTAGTCTCCTGTAAATTCATTGTGTTGTGTTCCAGCCAAGTCAACTGAACAATATTGTTGGAAGCATCGACATCATTTATCTGCGCATAATTTCTTGGCATGGAATCATGATCATCATAAATTGCCCAGATTTCATTAACTGCTATCCTGTTAACTTCTCTTAATGTTCCGAAATCAAAGAAATCTGAAGACTCATCGGTAATCACGGGATTACAATGCTTATGGTTGGCAATATCCATTCCATCCTTCTTGTACTTTTGCTGACTGCCTTCTTGAGTTACATTTCCCTCATCTTGGCTGTCTAATGTGCTGTGAACAGGTTCAGCAGCTTGATTCTTACCACCAGCAACATTATCACTACACACATTATCATCAGTTGAATTAGTGTCAGCAAGTGAATTGCCCTTCCTTTGCTTGTCATTGTTACGAGAGTCCCTGCTGCGGATGCTACCAGTGCACTCATAAGCAATCCCAGGATTGCCATGCGTCTGATTAGAAATATCTGTAGCTTCCTCCTTGTACTTTTGCTGACAATCTTCATGTGTTGCATTTCCTTCACCTTGGTTGTCCATGGTGTCAGAAACATGTTTGGCAGCTTGAATGTCAGCGACAGCAACATCATCATTATACATTTTATCAGCAGTGTCTTTACCTTGCCTCTTATTGATACAAGAATCCCTCCGGCGGCCACTGTCAGCACAATCATCATGCTTCCTCTTGCCTAACATCTGAAGATCGCATGACCCTGCAGCATTTGGCATTGTAGATGTATCTTCTGTAACAAGTTCATTGGCATCATGGGCCTTTTTCTGCTCTGATGGATTTTGCCGCGCTGCTCTCCCCTTCTCTAACTATGCATTGTGACTTTTTTTTTTGTTTTGTACTACTCTTGAGTGGCTGTGATGAATCAAGTTTCCATTAGAGAACTTTTGCACTTTAGCACCTTATGAGCTGGTACTTGGGATATTTTGTTCTATTTGTTGCTTAACTAGGATGGCTTGTACCAGTACAAGCAACTAGTTCTGTGGCCAATTCAATTCCCATTAGAGAGATATAATTAAATTAAGCTCTAGATAAAATTAAGTTGCAGTTGTCATGCTGATAATAGGTAAATCTGAGCCATTATTAGTGTGTAAACATGTGGTTGGCCGTGCACTGGTTAGCTGCTGCAAAGTCGAAGTTCACAGTGAATTTGAATGATATAGTTAGTTATCAGTGTGTAAACATGTGGTTATTTCTATACCTAAGGATGAGACAATAAACTATGTTCACATTTCTTCCTTCTTGCAGCAGTGAAGAAGCTAGTTTTATAAAGAATAGAGTAGAAGACATGTCGGATGGTTTTACCTTCACTATTTTGGTAGCATAGTTTTTGAATTTTTTCTGGATGTTGATTCTTCTGAACTTATACCTATCATTAGTCTCTTAAATTTGTCATCTTCATTTCAATGTCCATGTGGTTATTGAGAATTATGTTGCTAGGAGCATGATGTGCATGCAGATATGGTGTATTAAGAGTGTTTTGTATGGCAGCTATTAAACTGAAATATGCTGAGAAAAAAATTATTATTTTTCTTTGGAAAATAGGTTTGCCGAGTGTAACTATCAAAAACACTCGGCAAACAATAATGGTATGCTGAGAAAAAATTTATTTTTTTCTTTGGAAAATAGGTTTGCCGAGTGTAATTCCCAAAAACACTCGGCAAACAATAATCCTTTGCCGAGTGTATTTTGAAAAAACACTCGGCAAACCAATTTTTTTTTTGCCGAGTGTCTCAGCAAACCATTTGCCGAGTGCGCCATAAAAAACACTTGGCAAAATAGCTGTTTGCCGACACTGTAGATGCCGTGTGCTGTTTGCCGAGCGTTACACTCGACAAAGCCTTTGCCGAGTGTTTTTTGGTCTTTGCCGAGTGACTGTGGCACACGAAAAAGTCACTGTTTCCGGTAGTGTTAGGTCCAAAGATATTGAATGGACATTGGACTTTTTGAATTGGTCTCCAATGAATTTTAGTTTGAACATCATCGGATTTTAGTTTGAACATCATCGGATCCCATGGGGATAGATATAGATATCCAAATCCAAATAGATCTTATCTAAGTATATCCAAAACAACAAATATCTAATTGAATTTTGGATGAAATTCAGTACCAGCTCTGCCTATACATGCTGATAGGTTGCTGTCCATCCTTATCTTAACCATGGAGAGCTTGTCATCATCATCGTCATCATCATCTGACCCATTTCATCGACGACCCGCACAAGGGGTTGACTTTATTTGAAGATGCATGACACCTGGAGACTGGCCGGGAGATAGAATAAGAAGTGCACCGAGGAACGTTCCCACAACGCACGCCAGCTAACTGGTGTAATATCTTATGTTTTATTATATTTTCACTAGTGTGTTTTAGACCTGCACGTCACCGGGCTTGACTTTATTTGAAGATGCATGACACCTGGAGACTGGCCGGGAGATAGAATAAGAAGTGCACCGAGGAATGTTCCCACAAAGATGCATGACACCTGGAGACTGGCCGGGAGATAGAATAAGAAGTGCACCGAGGAACGTTCCCACAACGCACGCCAGCTAACTGGCGTAATATCTTATGTTTTATATTTTCACTAGTGTGTTTTAGACCTGCACGTCACCGGGCTTGACTTTATTTGAAGATGCATGACACCTGGAGACTGCCCGGGAGATAGAATAAGAAGTGCACCGAGGAATGTTCCCACAACGCACGCCAGCTAGCTAACTGGTGTAATATCTTATGTTTTATATTTCCACTAGTGTGTTTTAGACCTGCACGTCACCTGACCTCTATACCGCATTACCGCTGCAGGATTGAGATCGAGAATAATAAGAGTTGGGACGCTTTTCTTCTACCTCACGCTTTTTCGCCAGCTTGATGATCTTATATGCCATGATGCTGCCTCCCACGCGGCACCGTCGGTCGTGTCTCGTGTCGCCGGACTCTCCTCTGCCGGCGCCGGCGGCTGTTGCTTATTCGCTTTTAGCAACACATGTACGAAAGTACCGTGGGCGATGTTTTTCCATATTATATATATGCTCGTTGGATCATTTTGTCGTCATGTAATAAGCTAAGGATCGCTCCAAAATAAAGGAGACAACCCCCTCTACCCTCTCCTAAAAAATATAGGAGATAAATTTTTAGCTAATCTACTGCAACAATACTCTCCTATATTCTAAATTAATTTTAGGATGCTCTTTTAAATTAAAGCAACTTATACAAGATGTAACATAAGAGATCTGACAAAGATGCTGCTCTAGGACAATTAATTCTACTAATTTTACCGAGATTTTCCGCTTAAGGTAGAGACCTCTCACGCAGGTCGAGAAAACCCCTGAACCCCGTACCCCACCAGCACAACCCTGTGAGTGGGTTGGTGCCTACAAACTTGTGCTTTGAGATGCGGGGCAGACGAGGGGTTTTTTCCACCTCCGGCGCTGCAAAATTTGCCCCCATGAGGGATCGAGAAACCCCCGAACCTCGTATCCCACCCACACAACCCTGTGAGTGGGCCGGTGCCTAGAAATCTGTGCTTTGGGATACGGGGCTTGTGCTTTGAGATGCGGGGTAGGCGAGGGGTTTTTCCCACCTCCGGCGCTGCAAAATTTGCCCCCTTGAGGGATCGAGAAAACCCCCGAACCCCGTACCCCACCCGCACAACCCTGTGAGTGGGCCGGTGCCTACAAACCTGTGCTTTGGGATACGGGGCAGACGAGGGGTAAACCTATGCTTTGGGATGAGGGGCAAACGGTTTTTTTTCCACCTCTGGCGCTGCAAAATTTGGCCCCGTGAGGGACTGAACTTAGGCTGTGAGGGTACCAACAGGAGTGCTTGACCAGCCGGTCTAGCATCCTTTGACGTGTTTTGGACATCGCTAGTGGTATGCAAGTACAGTTTTTTAAACTAGCGACTTTTGTTACAAAAGTTTTTATTAAACATAGGCTAGCGCACCTTACTTTCATCTAATTATTTCAACGCAAATCTACTGTCATTTTTAACTATTTAAAAATTATTGCAGAGAAAGTAATTGTAGCTAAATTTAAAATAATTAATTGCTGATGTTAAAATGCCACTAATCTATGACGGGAAAAAGTAATTTGGTTTTAGGAAATGTTAGACATGGTTAAGGGCTAGGGCGCAACTAGTTGTGTACCACGTACTGTCCACTGAAGTTTGGATGAAGAAGTCATGGAGGTCACTCCTGACTCCTGCATCAAAGAAGAAAGCGAACGACAGCCAACTACTCAGCAAAAGAAGATGAGGCCTTGGTTTTAGCATGGGAGAGTGTGAGTCTTGTGCTGTCACAGGAACTGATCAAAATAGTAGCACATACTGGAAGCGAACTGGAGAGCACTTTCATCGCAATGTTGGACTTATTCTAGCTTCAAATTTGATATTTTAAATTATGCATTAAAAATGTTGGATAATTGTGTGGTAGAATGATAAAATCATGAATTTTGTGGAATGGGAATGGAGCTTATAATGAAGTGTGTATGCAAAAGGTAAGAGAAATAGAAGAAAATAAAATATACTGCCTCTATTCTAAATCATAAGCCATTCTAATTTTCTTGGAGAGTCAAAGCATCTTAAGTTTGACCAAAATTTTAGAAAGAATTACAAAGATTTATGACATCAAATAGGTAAACTATAAAAACATAATTAATACTTGACGTGCTGCTGGTTTGCTGCAGCACAAAAGATCGACCATGCAACGTGGGGGATATTGTCTTGTGGCTTGGGGAAAGGTCACCCGCCCCCCTGAGCTTGGTGGACTTGGAATTTCTAATCTCAAACATCTCGGCTGGGCACTAAGGATGAGATGGGTTTGGCTGAAAAAAACTGAACCCCACCGCCCTTGGGCGGCCCTTCCTATTTAGATCCTGGACCAAGTTAATGCCTTCTTCTCGGTGGCTGTTGTATCGGAAGTAGGCAATGGGAATCGCACGTTGTTTTGGACTGATCGTTGGATCCATGGACAGTGTATCGCTGATCTTGCACCTCAACTACTAGAAGCCATCCCAAAGAGAAGGGTGAAACGACGTACTGTCCAGGAAGCCCTTATTGATCGCAGCTGGGTTTTGGATATCAAGGGAGCCCTCACGGTTGGTGTTATTGTGGACTTCCTCCATCTCTGGGAAATGTTGTACAACCTCGAACTAGAGCCTGATGTCGAAGATGTCCACATTTGGCGGCTATCAAATAGTGGGCAATACTCAACCAAGTCTGCTTATGAGGGTTTCTTCATGGGATCTACTCGGTTTGGACCGTATGAGAGGATTTGGAGAACCTGGGCACCGCCCAAATGCCGCTTTTTCCTTTGGTTGGTGACCCATAATCGGTGCTGGACGACGGATTGCCTCGGGCGATGTGGGCTGCCTCATCATGAGCAGTGCCCTCTCTGTGACCAGGAAGATGAGACTATCAACCACCTTCTAGTCTCCTGTGCCTTTGCTAGGCAATTCTGGTATCACTTTTTAAGGCAGGTTGGTCTCCATTCCTTGTCACCACAACCTTCAGACACTTCTTTTGAAAGTTGGTGGGAACAAGCTATTGGAGCAACGAGCGGATTGATCCGTGTAAGCTTGGGAACGTCAATACTCGTGCATCTCGGTCGAACACGCCTTCTGTGGTACGACTGGTCCAGGTTCCCGAAGGAGTGCAACAGCACCCAAGGCAAAGCACACCAGATGGGAAAAAAATCTTTATTTTGCCTTGCCCTAGAGTCCCTGTG